CTGTTCTTGGGACCCCCGACCCCACGATTTTTCGCCCAAAAACGACCAGCGCCCCCTTCCCCGCGCCCCCCACTTGGTCCCGACACCCCCAAGCCCATGAGCTCTGTTCTTGGAATTCCCGACCCTGCAATTTCTCGCCCCAAATCGACCAGCGCTCCCCTCCCCGCCGCTCCCCCCCCTCCCGCCCACTCGGTCCCGGTACCCCCAGGCCCATGGGCTCTGTTCTTGGAACCCTCGACCCCGCAATTTCTCGCCCAAAATCGACCAACGCCCCACCCCCCCCGCCCCCCACTTGGTCCCGACACCCCCAAGCTCATGGGCTCTGTTCTTGGGACCCCCGACACCACGATTTCTCACCCAAAATCGACCAACGCCCCCCTCCCCGCCACCCCCTTGGCACCGACACCCCCAAGCCCATGGGCTCTGATCTTGGGACCCCCGACCCCACGATTTCTCACCCAAAATCGACCATCGCCCCTCCCCCGCGCTCCACTTTGTCCCGACACCCCCAGGCCTCTGGGCTCTGTTCTTGGGACTCCCGACCTTACGATTTTTCGCTCGAAAACGACCAACGCCCCCCTCCCCGCCCTCCACTTGGTCCCGACACCCCCAAGCCGCTGGGCTCTGTTCTTGGGACTCCCGACCCCACGATTTCTCCCCCAAAACCGAGCAACGCCCCCCTCCCCGCCCCCCACTTGGCCCCGACACCCCGAAGCCTCTGGGCTCTGTTCTTGGGACCCCCGACCCCACGATTTTTCCCTCATAAGCAACCAACGCCCCCCCCCCGCCCCCCACTTGGTCCCGACACCCCTAAGCCTCCCTACGATTTCTCGCCCGAAAACGACTGATACCCCTCACCTGGCCAGGCCTCGGCTTTCCCAAGCATCTCGGCTCTGTTCTTGGGACCCGCGACCCTACGATTTCTCGCCCAAAATCCACCGATACCCACCACCTTGCCTTCCCACCAGGCCTCGGCATCCCCAGGCTTCTGGGCTCTGTTCTGGAGACCCCCCACCCCACGATTTCTCACTCAAAATCGACCAACGCCCCCCTCCCAGCCCCTCCCACTTGGTCCCGACACCCCCAGGCCTCTGGGTTCTGTTCTGGGGACCCCCGACCTCAAGATTTTTCACACAAAAACAACCAACGCCCCCCTCCCCGCTTCACACTTGGTCCCGACACCCCCAGGACTCTGGGCTCTGTTCTTGGGACCCCCGAACCCACGATGTTTCGCCCAAAATCCACCAACGCCCCCCTCCCCGCCCCCCACTTGGTCCCGACGCCCCCAGGACTCTGGGCTCTGTTCTTGGGACCCCCGACCCTACAATTCTTCCTTCAACAAAAACGACCAACGCCCCCCTCCCCTCCCCGCCCCCCACTTGGTCCCGACACCCCCAAGCTTCTGGGCTTCTTGGGACCCCCGACCCGACGATTTTTCGCCCAAAAACAACCAACGCCCCCCTCCCCGCCCCCCACTTGGTCCCGACACCTCCACGCCTCTGGGCTCTCTTCTTGGGACCCCTTACCCCACGACTTCCGTCCAAAAGCGACCAACGCCCCTCTCTGCGCCCCTCACTTGGTCCCGACACCCGCAGGCCTCTGGGTTCTGTTCTTGGAACCCCCCACCCCACAATATTTCGTCCAAAAACGACCAACGCCCCCCGCCCCGCCTCCCACTTAGTCCTGACACCCCCAGTCCTCTGGGCTCTGTTCTTGGGACCCCCGACCCCGTGATTTTTCGCCCAAAAACGACCAACGCCCTCCTCCCGCGCTCCCCGCTTGGTCCCGACGCCCCCAGGCCCATGGGCTCTGTTCTTGGGACTTCCGACTCCTACGACTTCTCGCCCAAAATCGACCAACGCCCCCCTCCCCGCCCCCCACCTGTTCCCGACACCCCCAAGCCCATGGGCTCTGTTCTTGAACCCCCGACCCTACGATTTCTCGCCCAAACACGACCAACGCCCCGCTCCCCGCCCCCCACTTGGTCCCGACACCCCCAGGCCCATGGGCTCTGTTCTTGGGACCCCCGACCCCACGATTTCTCGCCCAAAATCTACCATCGCCCCTCCCCGCCACCCACTTGGTCCCGACACCTCCGCGCTCATTGGCTCTGTTCTTGGAACCCCCGACCCTACGACCCTCCCCGCCCCCCACTTGGTCCCGACACCCCCAGGCCCATGGGCTCTGTTCTTGGGGATCCCCGACCCCACGATGTTTCGCCCAAAATCGACGAACGTCTCCCTCCCCGCCCCCCACTTTGTCCCGACACCCCCAAGCCCATGGGCTCTGTTCTTGGGACCCCCGACCCCACGATTTCTCGCCCCAAATCGACCAACGCCCCCCTCCCCGCCCCCCACTTGGCCCCAACACCCCCAGGCCTCTGGGCTGTGTTCTTGGACCCCCGACCCCACAAATCCCCCCCCCCTTCCCCAAAACACGTCCTACGCCCTTTTCCCCGCGCCTCACTTGGCCCCGACACCCCCAGGCCTCTGGGCTCTGTTCTTGGGACCCCCGACTCCACGATTCCCCTGCCAACATCGACAGATACCCCGCACCTGGCCCCACCTGGCCCCCACCTGGCCGCCACCTCCTTCCGACCCCCGACCCACGATTTCTCGCCCAAGAACGACCAACGCTCCCCTCCACGCCCCCCCTTCCCCCCCCCGCCCCCCCCCCCCCCCCCCACCTCGCCCCGGCATTCTCTCCCACGGAGCCTTTGTTTTTAAGACCCACGACGCCGCGATTTCTCGGCTTGGCTCTGGGCATTTGCGCGCGCAGGTCAGCCATTTGTGTTTGCAGCATGGCTCCAAGGGCATGTGTGTCTGCAGCTTCGCTCTCGGCATGTGTGTGCAGCCTGGGTCCGGGCATTCGTGGGCCGTCCGTTTAGCCGATCCACACGCTGAGGCTATCACGGTTCTCAATATTCGGCAGCATGCCTCTAATACTCTCTCCGCGACTGGGTTCACGACTACGACGAGCGTTCGTCTATGCTCTTTTCGGAATCGGAGGCACCTATCCAGCCTTATGCTTTTTCGTTACCGACGCATGGGTCCGCTCGGCGACTTCCTTCCGTTTGCGCTCTTGGCCAGCACAACATATGTTGCATCTCTGCTTCCCATTCGCCTTCTGCGTCGATCGCCCAGCCAACCAGTTGCTGTAGTGCTCCCTCCCGAAAGCGCCCTTACATTCTACACATTTCCACTTCCCTCGCTCCAGCTTTGCGCCATCGATGCAGCGCTTGCACTTGCGGTGCTGATCTCCCGCGCACTCCCACATCCAATTCGAAAAGTATTCACGCCGCTGCGCTACCTCGCACACCACGCATGCCCTCACGTCCTTCCTCGCATCTGTGTTCCGCTGTGCAGCCCCAGCGTAGACGCAGCGCATGCATTTGCGGTCGCGATCGGCCACTCCATACCACATTTTGTGCGAGAAGAAATCACGCCGTTGCGCCACCTCGCACACAACACAGGCCTTCACGTCTTTCCTCGCCGCCGAGTCCCGTTGGGCGGCCGCATCCTGGACGCACTGGGTACATGCAATGGTCTCTTTGGAGACGATGCACCACGTGTGAGCGGAAAACTCCGCCTTACTCTTCGACTCCCCACATTTCGAGCATACCCTCAGTTTCCCTTCCTCGGCGCGCTGTCTTTCTTCCTCTCTCATTGATTTCTTACACGCTTTGCACTTCCGCTCCTCTGCGTTCCTCTCAATCCTCGCAAAATCGTCCACCAACTTCTCCATGCCGCAGCGGGAACACGTCAGGTGCTTCTTCAGCTCCTCGCACTCTTTGCACATCCCCCCTCTGCACCGGCTGTTCCCTGCAAGGTCCCACTGGTACGGCGCGAACGCTTCTTCGTACTTCCGACCCTCGCACACGCGGCAACTCCGTCTCTCGGGGCAGTCCACGCAACGCCGCGTGGTCAACTTCGACGGGTGGTGCTGTGACGCGTGGAACGCCTCCTGGCACTTCAATAGACCACACTCCATGCATTGCCACGGCGTGCCGGGCCTCTTCTTATCTTCCAGGCACACGCTGCACACGCGGAGCCCATCTGCGCGGCTCCACTGCCCGACCGTTGGGTACATGTTCTTGTACTTCGTGCACCCGCAGACCGCGCACCTGCCAGACGGCATGAACTCCCGCTCTATCGCCTCCCAGTCCAACTCTTCTCCGCGCAACGTGCGCAGCAGTAAGTCCGGGCCCTTCCGTTCGTCCTTCTTCTGATACGGCGCAATATCGAAAGGACGAAAGATCAGCATGTCCTCGCGGCGCTGCACCCGCGTCAGTGCCACGTAGCTCGACAGAGGTGACGTGCCCCCGCCGATGTTCAGGTCCACTATGACACCTTGCTTGAACGTCTGCCCCTGCGCCGCATGGGCCGTCACTCCGAAGGCCGGGGCCAGCGGGAACTGCCGTCTTTTGACCTTCAGTCGCGGATGCGGACGGCCCTTGTCCACGAACCACTCCTTCTTCTGCGGAATCACGGGGTGCAACCCGGGCGTCTTCATCCCCTCGATCGTCCACTGGCATGGCTTCCTGCCACCTTTCCCGTCATCGCCTTCCTCGAACAACACGAAAATCACTTTCGGAGTCTTCTTCAATATGGTCTCCCCGCCGCGCGTGACTCGATCATTGTCGCCGTCGCCGTCGCATACCCAGGATTGCACCCGGCCCACGCGACCGCGCAACAGGTTTTTGTCCTCGCTTCGATCGATATGATCGGTCAGAGCGACGGGCATGCCTTCAACGATGGGCAAGAAGCCGTACAAGTCCCCGCTCTCCTTGTCGTGGCGTTGGATTCATGCCATCTTCTGCTGCGCCAGATCCGGCCGCTCCCGCAGCGCCTCTGGCGTGGGCGTATCTCGCGCAGGGACGTACACCATCGGCTTCCTGTGCTTCCGTGCGTACTGGGACGCACGGAGCTTGTTCGCCTCGTACTTCACGTCGTTGTTCGGGAACACACCCGGCGCCACGAGGAACTTGTCTGACTGCAGACGCGGGTCGTCGGGTCCATCCACCACGAGCTTGCGGCGTGCGCGTTCCGCTCTGCACACCTTGCACTCTTGCTCGCGGATATCTTTCGGCGTCACGGGGCGTTTCCGTCGTTGCCCCGCGCTTGACGACGCTGCGTCCCTTCCGCCACTGCATAATTCCCGACGCGCCCGATTCCCGCAGCATGCGTCCCCCCCCAGCCAGCTCCCAGGAACGGTCGTATGCCGGCCGTGCAAGAATGCGTGCGCATCCGCCGACAGCGACCCTCTTGGGAACTCCTCCTGCACCTCCTTCAACCAGGCGTCGTCGCATCGCTCGCACTCTTCCAGCTCTGTCACGCCCTGAACCCCACACTCGGCCCCGCCCCACAATAGCGATTGCCCGTGCAACACGGGTGGCAGCGAAGTGTACTTGCGCGCAGCCGAAATCCGCTCCGTGGGGACGTCGGCGAGGAAGCCTCCGTCAGGGGGGGCCAGCTGCCAGAAGTCACCACTCAGCACGACGTTCAGGCCGCCGAACGGACGTGGAACGCCATCGTCGCCGAGTTTCGTCGCGCCCACGTCCCGAATGACCCCGCGAAGTTTCGCGTCCACTTCTGCTAGCAGTCTAGCGCTCACCATGCTTATCTCATCGATAAAGAGCCACCTCCACTGGAGCAGCCGCTTCGCAGTCTCGTACTGCAATTTCACGTCCTCCCCACCCTTGTCTTGACCCCGCTTGATGGCCGGAATGCCACACGCATGGTGAATGGTGTCGCCTCCCAGCAGCTGAGCCATGACGGTCTGCAAGGCGGTTATCTGGAAGTGCACTCCGATAGTCCATTTCAGCACCTTCTCGAACAACTCATGACGAATAATGCGAAGCACGTGCGACTTGCCGGTCCCAGGGCCCCCGTGCATGCACCACTGCAGCGGCTCACCCATGCTGCCGTTCTCACTTGCCTCGCCGTCTATCTCGCGCATTACCTGATTCGCCACCTTCTTCACCATCTCGAATTGCTTCGCGTTCACAACGCGCCGCCCCGTCTGCTTGTCCACCCGGACCTCTAGGTCCCTGAGCCACGCGGCAACGTCCTCCGATGTTGCGGCCTGGCCAGCGACGATGACTGCGCCGTCAGCCTCCGCCAGTCGGTCCGCCATGGATTGCTCCTTGTTCCGAGATTTGCGCGCCTCCCTGAGTACCTGCTCGACGTCGCAGGGCTCCTCTGCGGGCCATGCACCCGGAATCTCGCTCAACGGCGTTTCGCCATCGCGGAGCCCCCACACCTGTTGCGCGACACTCATGCCCCCTTTCGAATTTTCGTAGTGGGAGACGCCTCCGGCTCCCTGCCCAAGGTCTGCGTCGTCCTCCTTGCTGCTGCTGTCTCCGTCGCCGTCCTTGCGCCTCTTCCCGCCCGCGCGGGACTTCAGCGCCTCGTCGAGCTGATCGAAGCCCACGTCCAACTCCTCGTCGCCCACGTCTTCGTCGGTCCCGTCCCCCGCTTCTTCCGTGTCTCGTGGCCGGACGCGGTGCACACTCAGGAAGTTTCCCACGTGCCGCGCGGCTCCCTTCGTCTGCGCCCCGCCGTCCAGCCACGCCACCATGGCCGCGCCCCACGTCGGCGCGTCGCCGCGCAGGCCCCCTGCGAACACGACGTGCGCGTCGGCCGCGTCGGGCCTCAACGTCCACGGGTGGAAGTACGTCATGACAATGCGCGCAGATCGCTCCGCTTCTCCAAGACGTCCGCGTGGCACGGGCGCTCCGAAAAAGGTTGGTGCCTTGGGTCATTTGTTCCGCTTGAGCAGCCACGTGTGACGAAGGTGGGCGCACCCGTCTGTCTCTGGGTACGGCACCCAATCCACGCCTCCTCCTTCCTTGACCATGTAGTCCTCCCCAGGTTCCAGGTCCTGCTCCAATCTCGGGTTTTTACAATTCTCGCGCACCTTTTCCTTGCCCTTCTCTGTCAAGACGGCGCGATGCCGGGGATGGTCCGCATCCCCGAGTCTTGTCGGGAATGACACCAACACCGGCGTCCAGTACGTCGCGAACTCATACGGGGACAGGTGCCACAGGTCGGGAATGTTCGGTCGAAGCCCATACAACATGGCCACATCTCGAAAGGTCACCTTTCGACGTCTCCTCTGCCGCATGTCCACTTCGGCAAACTGCGCTTTGCGCCCGCCTGTCGCGCGGTCTGCCAGGCGCTCGACCAAATCCACGTACTCTCGCCCATAAAAAGCTGTGGTCTGGCAAGATTTCAGTGATTCCGCTGCAGTGACGTCGTCTTCCCTCGCGAACGCTCTCAGATTCGCACACTCCACTTGCCCCCGCACGATGCCCGTGCCGTACGCGTCGCTCATGATTCGGTTCGCTACTCGCTTCCCGATCCGATTCAAATTCTCGCCCTGCAGCTGCCTGCCAAGTTTCTCTATCCCCTTGCAGCACTCTTTGACTTCGTGAAAAGCCATGGGTTGCCGCTTCGTGCAGTAGTCGCACGCGTACCCTGCCTGTGCATCCTGCGCAATTTGCGCGACCTTGATGATCGTCGCGTCGTTGAGCTTCTTGTCGCATGCTTTCCCGCACGTACAACAAACCTCCGCGATGGGAAACCGATACGGCAATTGCACGTCCGAATTGAACCGTTGCGCGGACAACATGCAAGGATGCGTGCCGTTCAGACTCTCGTGATTCATCGGCCCGTGCAGGCTTCCCGTCCGATTCCGTCGCCCTGCCTTTGGCATGTCCAACGCACCCGCCTGCCCCGGACACACGACGATGGCGCGGTCAATGAGCTGCGACGTCCGCGGGAAGTCCGCCTTACACAACTTCGGGTTGTCCTTTCGGCGGCACGCCGGCAGGGGCACTCGGTCCCCAGTCTCTTCGTTTTTCAACTGCACGTGGTTCTGCTTTCTCTCCTGCAGGCACTGCACGTCTACGTCTAGGTACGCTTTCTCCCATGTCACAGCGTCGTCTGCTGCCTCCTTCTCCGTTGCTTCCGGATCAAGAGTGCGACACTGAAACGCGGGCCTGCAAATAAGCCCTCCCTCGTTTTTGAATTCCGGCCACGACTTCTCTGCCTCATCCAACCTGCCATTGATTTCCTCCTGTGTCATCTGCTTCGAATACACCTGGCGGCACACGCGACTCTTATACTTCAAATAATCCTCCACGATCTTCTTTCCGCGGCCTTCCACCTCGTCGCGGACGATTTCGAATACCTCTTCCAGCGGTGTGTGCTGGTGCAGGCACTGGATGAATGCCTGGCAGTGCGCGTGGAGAGACCCCGTGGACTTCTGCGCTTCGGTCGACACGTAGTAGGCATCAACGCGCCCGAACGCGCCCCCCCCCGGGCTGAGCATTACTCCCGAAAAGGTCCTGGCATGGTGCCCCGTTCTCAGCCTCGTTGCACCGCGGGCAGTTCGGACAGGTACGCACGCCGAACAAGTGAGGGAGCGTGGCGTCCACCAGGATACGGAAGCCGTCCACGCTGGCCATGGGATCTCTCGCAAGAATGCGTCTGCGCTCGTTCCATGGTGGCACTCCTGCCTCCCCCGTGGCCATCGGCAGGTCCATGCGCAGCCCATCCATGTCGGGGGCTACGCGCGGCCAGCCCCGACCCCCCGCCAGCCGCGAGTGCGCTTCATCATCAGCTGCCTTGTGCACGGGGTCCTGCCGGCGAGTGCGCGAGAGTCTCACCATGAGCAGATTGTGACCTTCGTCGGGCGAGAAGGTAACGAATATGGGGACGCCGTACCGCACTCGCAGCGCGTTCGTCTCAAATCGCATGACTCGCATCGCCCCGATCTGGGGTCGGCGGCAGAGGCGGCAGCCTTTAGATAAAAGGGCGCCGAGAAACACAGGGGCGCCGAAAACCCCAGGGGCGCCGAAAACCAAAGGGGCGGCGAACATCAAACGAACGCCGAAAACCAAAGGGGCGCCGAACAACAAAGGGGCGCAGAAAACCAAAAGGTGGCCGAAAACCAAAAAGGGCGAAGAAAAAAAACGGGGCGCCGAAAACCAAAGAAGCGCCGACAACCAGAAGGGCGCCGAAAACCTAAAGGGCACTGAAAACCATGGGAGCGCCCAAAACAAAAAGGGCGCCGAGAACCAAGAGGTTGCCGAAAACCAAAGGAATGCTGAAACCGAGGGATGCGCCGAAAACAAAAGGGGCGGGCCGCTGAAAACCAACAGAGCGCCGAAAACCAAAAAGGGCGCCAATAACCAATCGGACAGCGAACACCAAAGAGGCGCCGAAAACCAAAAGAGGTGCCGAAAACTACAGATGCGCCGAAAATCAACGGGGCACCGACAACCAAAAAAGAACACCACCAAAAAGAACGCCGGCCACCAAATGGACGCCGAAAACCGAAGAGGAGCCGAAAACAAAAACGTCGCCGAAAACCAAAACAGGCTCCAAAAACCAAGGGGGCACTGAAAACCAACAGGTCGCCGAAAATCAAATCCCGAAAACCAAAAGGGCACCGAAAACCAAGAGGCACCGAAAACCGAAGGGGCTCCGAAAACCAACAGGGCGCCAAAAACCACAAGGGCGGCAAACATCCAAAGGGTGCCGCAAACCAAGAGGGCGCCGACGACCAAAGAGGCGCTGGAAAACAAAAGGAGCGCCGAAAACCAACAGGCCGCCGAAAACCAAAGAATGTGCAAAGAACCGAAAAGGCGCGGAAAACGAAAAGGCGCCGGAAATCTAAAGGGAAGCCGAAAAAAAAGGCGCCGAAAACCAAAGGAGCACCGAGAACCAAGAGAGCACCGAAAACCAAAGGAGCGCCGAAACCCGAAAGCGCGCCAAAAACCACAAGGACGCCAAAAACGAAAGAGCGCGGAAAACGGAAAGAACGCCGAAACCAAAGGGGCGCCGAAAACCATCAGGGTGCCGAAAACAACAAAAAAAAAAAACGAACGCCAACAAAAAGCGCCGAAAACTAAGAGAGCGCCGAAAACCAAAGGAGCGCAGAAAACCAGAAGTGCGCCAACAACCAAAGGGGTGCCGAAAACTAGGAGGGCGCCGAAAACCAAAAGCGCGCCCGAAAACTACAAGGGCGCCGAAAATCAGAAGGGCGCCGAACACCAAGAAGGCGCCGAAGACCAAAGAGGCACCGGGAAGCTGAAGAGCGCCGAAACTCAACAGGTCGCCGAAAACCAAACAGCGCACAGAAAACCAAAGGAGCGCCGAAAACAAAGGGACGCCGAAAACAAAAGGGACGCCGAAAGCAAAGGGTCGCCGACAACCAAGAGAACGCCGAAAACCAAAGGGGCGCCGAAAACCAACAGGGCGCCGAAAACCACGGGGGCGCCGAAAATTCAAAGGGCGCTGAAAACCAAAAGAGCGCCAAACACAAAGACGCTCATTCTGGCCCTGCGTTGAGATTTGCACCGGAAAACGAGTCCTTGTGTATGCGGGACCCAGGTGTATACATTTTCCGTTGTTCCCCCGCGAAACGGACAAACAACGTATACACCACACCACCCCGACGCCGTCCCCGACTCTCAAGAGTCCTGGGATTGAAACGCAGCCCGCCACTAGTAATGCTTATGTTCCAGTTTCCAAGAAAACTGCAGTAGCGCCAGAACCCGAAGGCGCGCCAAAAACCGAAAAAAACGCCGAAAACCCAGAGGGCGAGGAAATCAGAGAGGCACTGAACACCAAAGAGGTCGCCGAAAACTAGGAGGGCGCAGAAAACCAACGATGCACGGAAAATCAAAGGGGCTCCGAAAACCACCAGGGCAACGACATCAGAAAGGGGCGCCGAAGACCAAAGAAGCATCGAAAACCAAAGGAACGCCGAACACAAAAGGGACGCCGAAAATCAAAGGGGCGCCAACAGCCAAAAGAAGGCCAATCACCAAAGAACGCCGATAACCAAAGAAGCGCCGATAACCAAAAAGGCGCCAAAAACAAAGGGGCGCCGAAGACCAAGGAGCGCCGAAAAACCAAAGGGGAACCGAACACCCAAAGGTCTCCGAAAACCAAGGATGCGCCGAAAACCCCAGGGGCGCCAAACACTGAAGGAACCCAATGTGCGCCAAGAGCAAAAGGAGCACCGAGAACCAAAATGGCGCCCAAAAAACCAACGGGGCGCCAAAGACCAACGGGGCGCCGAGGATCAAAGGGGCGCCGAAAAACCAAAAAAGTCGCCGAAAACAAAAGGTGCGCCGAAAACGACAGAGCGCCGACAACCAAACTGGCGCCGAAAACCAAAAGGGCGCCGAACACCAAAAGAACGCCGAACACCGCAGAAGCGTCGAAAACTATAAGGGTGCCGACAACCAGAAGGGCACCGAAAACAGAAAAGGCACCGAGAGCCAAAGGGCCGTCGAAAATAATAATGGCGCCAAAAACAAAAGGTGCGCCGAAAACCAAGGGGGCTCCGAAAACTCCAAGGGGCGCCGGAAACCAACGATGCACCGAAAACCAAACGGGCGCCGAAAATCGAAGGGGTGCCGAAGACCAAAAGGA